AGACATTCGGGAAATGAGCGCAAAACCAAATTCATATCGATCCCGTTTGTGTACGACCAGGCGTGCTGGAAAAACTCTTCCAAACGCCGTTTCAACGGATTGGGGATTTGATGAAATCGTATAAATTCTTTCACACGAAGCATCTGTGTGTGATAACGTGCTGTGCCACTATACAGTCGTTGAATGATGGCGCTCACGTGACCGAAGATACCAGCATACATGAGAGCTGTACAAACATTCGGACAGGGGATGAGGTTACCCGGTGGGGCGCGGGGTAAGGCAAACCAAACAGAATAGATAATCACATTGGTGAAGCGATTTCGAACAAAGCACAAGCAGAGGAGTTAAATGTATATACAAAAAATAAAACTCGAGATACAATAAGAACATGAACGAAAAGCACAGCTGATTACGAGAACTGGTCATGGAATGCAAACAACAAACAAATAATTTAACTCGGGTCATCTGGGAGCAGACACAGATGGAGTGGCATATGATAAACAGATCAACATTGTTGTGGTTTGTTGGAAACGACCATCACTGTTACCTCTTATCAATGGCTCCCACAAGGACTGACGAGTAAGCATCCTGCGACCTTATGGAGGGGTACATAAAAAGTTGGGATGCAATTCTCATGCAGTCAGATAGAAATTGTTTCACATCTGGATAATCTGAACCAAACAGTTCGTAAGTTGTGTGGATAAGACGGACGTCTGGAGCTTCCATGTGTCCACACCTAGAGTTAACATCCGTAGACACAATGCGGGTTATCTCTCTGATATGGACCGTTCGTAAATAAGTAAGAATTTCACCATACGGTGAGGATGACGACGGTGACCGAGATCCTCTGGACTGAAAAAGCGGATTTCTATGGTTCTTGGATTCACCTTTTCTAAGGTACAACATTGTATAAAAATTGCAGTTAAAAAGACATGTCCATGTGCGAAGCGATAAAGCTTGTTTCTGTAATTTCTCTCTGTCTCGGGCCATTGACAAGGTATCAGGCTTCCGGCTCGGATGGACTGAGCCCATCGGCACTTGGTCATGAAACTGACAACATCTCCAGACTTCAACATGGAAATTTTTTCGCAACGTTTTCCCTCTGAATTCTCTGCTTTTCCCGTGATATCATTTCCAGTATTCCAATCTTTCTTTGAATACTTTATTCAAATGGATACACACCGATAGGCAAAAGAAGGCAATCCAAACCATGCAAAGTCAATGGTTGAATTAACCGTATGAACCTCGACTCTTTTCGTTGAGTGGTGCTATATGCTTATTCAAAGCCGCGCGACGAAGCTATCAATAGATAATGGTAGTACCGGAGCTCCACGAGCTCACGGGCGATGATCTGAAGCACTTTTTTCTACCAGAAATCTGCATCCACATCATGCATGGAGCAAGACTAGTGAGGATTTCTGAGCTCACCGGCGGATTTCAATAATGGTAGATTTTTGCGATCA